TTTTCTTTTTCCACCCATTTTCCATACTATCAAACATGGCCTTAGTATACATTTTTAAGACGTGTGTAGCGGAATGTATAAATTAACAATGACTGTGCTTGACATTTTTTTTTTTAGCCCCCGTTTGGCATTCCTTTTTTTCTATTTTTTGAACAGGAACTTAACTGATGTGTGGGCCCCAACGTCCTTGAACCTATCAACAGCACCGACACCCGTCCATTATTTTCTTAACTCCAAAAATGCCTTGACAAAAAAATGTACTGCTTTAAGGTGTTGTTCACATTTACAAATTGATTGGAGGGCAAAATCGGTAGTTTTATGGCAAGAATTTGTACTCTGACGAAATTAATAAGGAGAGATTAAAACGTGGCAACAGGATTTAATGGTTCACACTTGACAGACAAGTTTTCAGGTCAATTTATTCACATTAAAAAAAATGTTAAAATTCCATGTTACTCTACCTGTCAAATCCTGATTTTATTAATTTCAAGATTATGTTCTCGTAGACTTTCAGATTTTATTATTTGTTAAATACTAGACAAAATCCTAGTTACTGCTTGTTACAAATTTTCCGCATTAGTTGTCTCTTAATAATGTGAACATTCTGAAAATATATAAGCAGAAGCTTCAGCAATGATATGGGCTCTTATGGGACGCTCATGTGGAAATAATAAGGATGGTAATAATTCTTTTATTCAAATAATAATAATGGGCAGAACAAAGTTGATTTAAGTATATCACGTTCACAAACTGGCAATGACTTGCTTGATCAAGTCAAGATTTATACTTTAGAAAATATGTTCATTAAGAACGAACAAATTTTAAATACACTAAAACCCCATGTGCGGAAAGAATTCCACATAAGCAAACCAGAATACTCACAAATGAGTGGGCTCCACCATGTATTTATAAAATAAAATAAAATGTGCGGGACCCACAATCAAGAGTGTTCTGGAAATTTTTTGTGGGATTTCTTTTTGTACATCTAGAAAAATTGTTTTAAATATTTATCATTCTAAGATACAACAATAACTTCAGCCCGGGAATTAAGATATTCTTAATAGTTGGATGTCTCGTGACTTTTTTGATTGATAGTCTTATAAAAAGTTAAATTCTGAGCTTTGCTACCTTAGAAATTAGAACGAAGTCGAATAATGTTTTTTTTTAGCACAATTATCACTTTAGTAGATGAATTAAGAGGGGTGCTAAATGTATATGGGTATCACTGAAATTTACAGTAACAAAAATAATGATCGTCAGAGAATTAAAATATGGGTTATTCCGTTTGTACATAATGATTTGTACATCATGGATTACCACCTCACATAATACGCGGGGCTCGCGTGTATTTAAAAATTTCGACAATGTGGTCATCATCCCCATTGCGAGTAGTAAGTAAAAGATTCGATAAAAAAATTCGAGATATGTAGCATGATCCTTAAAATATATGTTTCCTAAGGGTAAAATTGTCAACTGGGGACCCAAATGTCATAAAAATTAAAGGTTGAGAGTGAGGTAGACAAAGTATTTAGGTTGAAGACCTAGTTGCTATATTTTTAATTAGTTGGGGGCCCATTTGTAATATTTCTGATAACAGAGTAGTTCATTTAATACAAGTAGAAATTACATGCGACCATGTTTTTTAAATTCCAATTTCAAAAATCAAGTTTAGGATTCATTTATACAAAAATTGGGTGATAATTACATATTTTAATATTAATAATAAATTATAAAATAATTCATATATTCATACCCTATCCCATCTAAATCTTAAATCATTT